CATTTAAGGCCATTTGTCCCTGTTACATTTCATCATGTTTCTGCTGACCTCCAGGCTCTCCCTCTGGATTGCAGCCAGTGGCCCTCAAGGTGTACCACCTGGTCCTCCCAACTTGGTATAGTGTGCAAATTTGATGAGCAAGTACTCCATTGCCTCCTCCAGGCCATTGATACAGACGTTTAACAGGACAGGACCCAGGACAGACCCCTGCAGTACTCTGCTTGTTAACAACCTCCAGACAGAGCATTCCCATTAACCACTATGCTCTGAACCCAACTATCCAAACAGCTTTTTACCCATCTGCTTCTTGACCGTAACATCCTACCCCAGCTACAAGAATATTGTGGTAGAATGTTGAAAGCCTTGCAGAAGTCAAGGTACATGATGTCCACTGTTCTCCCCTCAGGCTAGTCAAGCTTGATTTACCCTTGGTAAATCTGTGCCAACTATTCCCAGTCACCTAGTTCCCCTTCATGTGCCCAGAAATGTGTTCCAAGAAGACTTGCTCCATGCTTTTCCCCAGGTACCAAAGTAGGACTGACCAAACCTGTAGTTTCCTGATTGTCCTTCAGGCATCTTTTGAAGATGGGTGCAACATTTGTTTTCTTCCAAACATACAGAATCTCCCCTATTCTCTATGAAAAGACATCAGCCAGTTCTCTCAGCACCTTTGGATTTAGCAAGTCAGGTCCCACGGACTTGTATGGATTGAGCTCTCTTCTTGTAGGCTTTGACATCCCTTGCAAATTTGAACTCCAGCTATAGTTCCTCCTGCTTATAACCTAGGCTGCATGCATTTGTATACACATATTTGACATAGCCTCCCTTCTACTGTTTTGGTATTCCTGAGGTCTCTGTTGTTCCCATCACAATGCACCCTTTTCTTTCCACCTCATCCACCAGTTGCTCACTTAACTGTGAGGCACACTCCCTATCCTCATTGCTTCTGGTTTAAAGCTTTCCTCACCACATTGGCTGGCTTGTTGGCATAGATGCTCCTTCCTCACTCACTCAACCTAAACTTCTGCCGGAAATCCAGAACTTCTATGCTTCCTGGCCCATACAGACATTCAATAACTAGTTAGCCATTTCAAAACTCCTGAACCACCCATCCCATATATCCAGTGAAACCTCTTCATTCTCTGCCTCTCTTCCTACATGAATCCTTCATGATCTCAAATTTGCGTGTCTCAGTCTATTTTTGCCAGCTGAGGTCTGAACACCTCTACTTCTAGAGACACTATAGGGTTACTCCTAAATCAGCCAGAAAGGATCAACAAAATCACCAAGAGGTACTCTTCCTCTAAGGAGTAACACTGCATGGTAAGTTGCTAAAGCTCAGGCATCTTATTCTACAGTTACACTATCTTAAAGCTCCCTTGGGAAAACAAAATAGAAAAAATGACACACGTGCATGTGTGTGTGTGTCCCCATATCACGTAAGCTTTATGGAACATTATAAAATGCCAAAACATTAGAAAAACATCTAAATAATCTTTTAAATACAGTTTGACTGTTCAACAATGCACATCTTTAAAAGTAAGTAACAGAAAATTTTTCTCAAAGTGACTGCACACAAATCTAAAGAAGTTTTAAGTAATGGTACTATAACAGCGTGCCTACCTGGCATATAAGGTCTGGCTGCCTTTATAGAGCATGCCAGTGAGAGTACATCTGACCAGCACAAAGCACATGAAGGCTGACCATGGCACGCATGTCATCTAGAAAGCTGTACACATGAGCAGGCAGAACGCCTGTGCCATGCGCCATTTGTACAGCATTCAAAAGCTAACCTTGACTCAGTGCAAGTAGATATAATCCACTCCACAGCTGCTGGTGTAGAGGGCAAGGACTGTTCCTTGGCACTACCCCATAAAGAACATACTGATGGACCTTCAGATTTTTTTCCAATGCATTCACCAAACAAACAGGTCACAGAAAGCTTCAAAATATTCAGAAAGACTTAGGCAAGACAAGTTACACACAGAAGATAAGTATTTTATTATCCATGACAAAAAGGCAGAATACTGAATGCATCAGTATACACAGGAACATTTTTAATTCTGAACAAATGCAACCAGTTCTCTATCACTTTCATGGACTAGAAAAAAAATAAAAATAATCAAAGTAATCGACAACATAGTATAAAAAGAAAAATACAGAAATACATTTAGGAAATACCACCAAATGATAAACAGTAGTTTCCAATTAAATTTTACCAAATCAAAGTAATGTTTTTGCTCAGAATTATGCCTGCCCAAAAACAAACAGGAAAACACACCCAAACCTCCGAATCCTAAATAAATGACAATTTCTTCCAACTAGATTACAAGTATGACCTCTCCCACTTAGAAGAAAAATGGTGTTACAGCTGAGGTTGGGGACAGGGGAAGTACGCACCAAAGAAAGAATACTAGGAATAAAATCCGTAGCCAGACATCCCAGCAACTTCATCTAACAATTGTAACATAATCTTATAATGCACTTCTGAAAATCTCTATCAGCAATGGCAACAAAAGATACTCTTTATATTTACAGGGGCAGCATAATCCTGAAAATACTTTCAATTATCTAGTTTTTACCTTAAGCACTCTGGCTATCAGACCTTCAGAAAATGAATTACTATGACAAGCTAGACTCATTATGAGTTGAAAATAAAACACACATTCTTACAAATAAATCTAACATTTGCAATTTGCAGAACATAAAAGTAGTACACACACAGCTGTTTATTTTTTCTTAATCATCCGTCATTTCTAGGCTCCATTTTGTAACATTAGGTAAGCAGTGTTCTACAGTACACACAAGTTAAAGCACAATATACTTTACATTAGCAAAAAAAACCCCAAACCCAACCCTAAATTAAAATATGCAAGTTGTGTATTAATATTGCACCAACAGGACTGGCGTTTGAGGTATCCAGATTTTCTTTAAAAAGAAAAGATACCCAAACACCTGCTGTTCCAACTGAATGACAGCCAGAAGTTAGAATCAGAGTTAACTAACCCTTAAGTGCCAGTGCCTCTATATGACAATTAAGTATTACTTGGCACTACAACAAACATAGCCCAATGAAGTAAATGCAAAGTTGTCACTCAACATGAGTAATCTTGCACAATACAACCTTTGCGTTTTACCCTAAGAGCAAGCAGTGTGTCAAACCATTGGCAAAGAACATGCCAGGTAAGCTTGTAACTTCAACTAGGAAAAACTTCAAATTCTGCAATAATAGAATAAAATGGTGCAATATAAAGAAAACAGTGAACAATCACAAATGGTTACAACAAAACCCTCTATTTAATTAATACATGAAAGTAACACTTCTGATACTTTAGCTAATATTTACTTAAGAAATTTTCTTATGCATTGTCTGATTTGTTACTAATGGGCATCTTTTGCTTGTACACTGAAAATATTTGCATGCTTTTTCAATAATTCACCAGCAGAGTTAACTTTGTAAAGATCAGCTGGCATTGTCTTATCTCATTTATTCTAATTTCCTGGACATGTCCCTCCTTTAAAAAAAAAAAAAAAATTTTGTTTTCCAGATAAAGCTTTCAAGTTTCCACAGGAATTAAATACATCATGATATCCAGGGGCGGGGGGAGTGTTCTTAGATCTTATTTCCATCTAGAGATGCATTAGAAGTATTGTTTATCATTAGGGATGTATTAATTTTTTCATTTAAATTCAAACAATCACAGGGCATGCTAAGAAAACCCCTCATAGTTCAGGCCTCTTCATGCTTTATCTTTGTCCAAAGGACTGAGGAAGGATGTGGGGAAAAAAGTGAAGGGGGGGGAGGGGTGGGGAGGGAATCAGAGAAACATCTGACAAATCCTTACAATTTCAGAATTGTTACTGGGGGGCGGGGGGGAGCTCTAACACATATACAGCATATCATCGATTTTCAGTTCCTCCTACAAAGAAGAAAGGAAAAGGTACTGAACGTTTCCCTTCAAGATACAAACAGGGACTAAGTGCATGGAGAAAACACTCTTCAACACATGGGTGCAGAGGATGGAGGAGAGACATCAGGGGAACAAGCACACTCAGCAGCGAAAACGACCCCAATTGTGATGCAACTCGGATACCAAGAGAACCTTGAGACCAGTTAATGGCATCTTTACACCAAGAGCTAACTGAAACAACTTAATGGGTTTCTCTCCCATAAATGGGGATCCAAGTTCTTGGCTTATTGTTAGTAAACTTTCTCCTAACAAGAGAAAAGATACTCATACGGGAACTTTGGAATTAGAAATAGAGAAGAATACGCTTGGCATCTTTGTCTTCTGGGCATCCAAAACAAGGAGACACCACCACTGTAAAACAGATGTTACTGCAAATAAAGTTTTATATATATATACACATAGATTGTAAAAGTATTCTGATGGAAAGGTTTGCCAAAAACATGATTGTCTAAATAACTATAACAAGAGATCATAGAGGGGAAAAAAAATGTACTAAGAGCAGTATCTGTATTTTTTTTTTTTTAATACATTGAAGAAGTACCTTCCTAACAGCAGTCTGCTTGTTGTTCAAATAATTCTTTTGATAGTATCTTCACATTGTCTTTCTAAACTGTGGAACATCACAATCACAAGTCTCAACCAGTGCTTCTGGTTGCAGATTTACTCTGTATTAAGTCAATTTTACTTATCATCACAATGCTGAAAACAAACCCCAATTTCTTCACAGTATTGTCCATCTTCTGCAGTTTTTCTTTTCTTTCAGTGTTATATGAATGTGTACCTTTTGTCAATGACATTCCAGCACCCACTATACCCGACTTCCTTATTTTAAACTTTATCACAGACAGCGCCATGCTTCAGATACAGTAGTTTGACTACTTTGCTTGCTTTCTTTCAGCAAAGTAAGAGCTCGTGTCATAATTATGATCTGGTTCACAAAGGGAAGCTAGTAACTAGAATTGGGACACTTAGGCTGCAAATCTGTTTCTCCCAATTTAATTCTGCCAACTGGAATGAGGCAGCACCTACTTCTAGAAGAGACTGCATGGCCAGCAGCAATTAAGGTTTGAGCTAGATTCTTCTCCTCATACAGAACATCCACCTCTAATTTCATTTCAGAGCCATAGTGTTTAAAATGAAATATCAGACCCGGTTTACTAAGAAGCTTCTGAAACAGAAGTTTAGCTTCATCACTCCAGTATTCCCCCTTGGCCGGAACTGTATCATGTAAAGAGCAAGAGTGTGCCAGGCGTGGTAAGACAGATAGACTTTCTGGAATAACTTTAAGTTTATGGATATCAGAATAAGGGATGCTCTTCAGAAAGCCATAATCAATAAATGTAAGAACAACAGACTGGCTTGTTACTTCACTAACTTCTGCTCTGTTCCACTGTGCTTCCAGCCCAAACTTGATCAAGCAGCTAGCACCAGGAGCCACAAGTTCTTCTGGCAAAGCTGGCAAGTGGTCAGGAAGGTCAGAGAGCAGCAAAGACAAGTCTTTCATGCAGTCAAATAAGACTTCAAACTGGATGCAGAAGTTTGAAGGATCACTAACTGCAGTTGCAAACCCAGGATACCTTCTGCCACTCTGCAGCAGCATCCACATGACTGAATTTATCTTGAATGATGTCTCAAACTCCTTACAGTCTGTATTACTGGATTTTCCTGGTCCAACAGTAGTCCGACAATGACTTAAGAGCTGGTTCAAATACTCCTGAAGCAGAATTTCCCCTACTAAAATATCTACTTCCCAGATATGAGAGGATTCCAAATATCTCAAAAACAAGATCCGTATTTCACAATCCAGGAGTGCATTTACTACATGGACAAACTGAGTTTTCTTCAGTTTTTTAAGCCAAACCCATTTACAAAACACAGCTTGTTTAGGAATACTTTTAATTTTGTCACTGAGCATCTTTGCATTATTTAAGGACACCACCTCATGCTTGCCATAATCGATGAAAAAAACTAGCATTAACTTCTCCCTGACAAATTTCTTTACCACTTTTGATCGATACCACTTCAAGTTCCTTTCAGATTTTGTCATACATTCCAATCCTTCTTCAATGTCATCCACTCCAAGCAAATCACTTCTTTGTGCTTCTCTGACAAGCATTACATTTAACTGCCGTAATATTTGCAAATTTCTAAGTAACTGTACATGAAATTCTCCACTCTCTGAAATATTAGTTACTTCTGCTCCTTCTACCTGTCCAGAATTTAGACCTTGAGGAAGGACATTTAAGGGTGTTTTGAAAGTATTTTTCATCTTAACAGCCTTAGTTTTACTTTGACCACCTAAACCATTCCTAGACTTTCTATCTGGAGGATTACCATTTGTAACCAGTATTTGCTTTGGCCTGTTTTCTTGATTATGTATTGGTGTGTTTTGCCACCTTCTCCTGCCTTTTTTCTGCAGAAGGTCATTAGACATTGACCTTCCATCACAAATTACATCTATTTCCCACTGCTCTCCATGTTGCTGTAAGAACTTGCAAGTGACTGGCTTGTTATTTATTTTGCTTACAAAATAGGAAGTACTTTCATTAGTCCAGCTTTCATCAGGAACAGTTTTTACTCTGCTAAGGAAACAATGAACACTGAGCCTTGGCAAAGTTAAGAACTTCTTCTGAATCCTACAGATTTCTGAAAGGCTTACAACTGCTGCATTACCATAGTCAATGAACTCCACCTCAAAGAAGTTTCCTGACTGCAGAGTTTTAATAACTGCTCTATAGTAAAAACAATCAGTGTCATATTCCGCTACAATGAGATCCCCTACCATGAGCTCATCTAAGCAATTTTCACGATCTACATTCACCATGCTTTCATTTAATTCTTCTGCTAGTTGTATTATTAAGTTTTCATCCTCTGCAAGCTGAACATAGAAACTTGATGGACTATTCATATGAGAAATATACCCTGCTACTTCAGAATTCACCTGAATATCACGTTGAGGAAGACTGATTAATTTAGGTATATTTTCGTTACTCCTTTCCTGCTGACCTGTATAATTTAGTCTTTCATTGTGAGATTCAGAGAGAGCATTTACAGTTATTTCCTTTGAATCTGAAGCAGGATCACAGAGTGAGTGAGAAGCAGGCTCTCCAACCAGAGGTTCCTCTTTGTGCTCCAGAACAGTAGCAACGGTATTTCTAAAACCTAGGTCTTGACTGTCCTGTAAAGTTAGCGGTTTTGAGGACCCACTACACAACTTCTGTGTGCTACATGTAGTTTGCCCTTCATCTCCACAATTTTCTCCAATATCTGTCTGATAATACTTATCATTTACTTGGCATTTCACTTCAGTTTTCAATTTAACTCTTTCAGGATTTTTAAGTGTTACTTTCATTTCTTTGTCATCTTCCATGTGACATACAACTCCTTCATTACCTCCAACAAATTGTTCCATATAATTTTTCGGTGCCAATTCTTCCAATATTTTTTCTTTGATTTTCTCACTTACTTTGAGCTGTCCATCATACAACTCCACAACAATCTGTCCATCTGATTCTCTGGATACAATTACAGCTTTCAGCAGTTTACCAAGGAATGCTTCCTCAAACCATCTAGCAACTCTTGCTGGAATTTTTGTCTCCTTAAGATCTGACAGACAGCATTTAATAGCTTGCATGGGCGTGAATATTAAGTCAGTGGCAGAGTCTGGAATAGGCATCAACTGGTCTCTCTCTACTATATTCTTATTTCCAAAATCCACAAAGTCAGCACACAGGTAAGATGTCGATTCCACAGGAAAAGCCAAAGCTCTATAAAAGAGACCATCTTCAAAATATCTGGCTACACATAATCGCGTACTGCTGGTATCACATTTCGCATTATTTGACATTTTACTTATGACGCTAACCTTCTTCATCAATGCCTCTATAGTTTCAGTGTTTCGATTAAGCTGACAATAGAAATTTGAAGGACTCCGTATGTGAGTTATATAAACCTCCTCCTCACTTCCAACTTTTATATTAAATGACGAGTAGCAAAAACTGTACAGGGAACCCAAAGATGCAAGGTTCCTCAGACCAATATATTCAGACTGGGTGACACCACATTCTCTGAGGAATTCCTCTGTACTAACAAATGGAGTCTGTAAGTCAATTACATTACATAAACAGTTGGGACTTACAAGAATAAGAGCATAAACTGTGCAAGTCAGTGGTCCTCTAGAAGCAGAAATAAAGTCTTCAAAATGTCTACGCACTTTTTCAGACCAATTAAGTGAGTCAGTCTGTAAGGGTACATTTTTAAGTCCACATCGAAATGCTTGACTTTCCAGAATCAGGAAATCTGGAAGAACAGCTTGAAGATCTTGAAGTAAAACTCTTTCC